TTTGTTTCCGCCCCTTCCCCCGGCAACGCCTGGAGGGAGGGGTTCGAGCGCTTCGACCATTGGTGGTGACGCAGCCCGCAACTTCGAGCTTCGAGGAAGAGAAGGATGAGGAGCAACCGTGGCCTTCGACGACGAGGTTTGGTGCCCCCCCGGCCGCGGGCGGGCTCGGTCACTCAAGACATAATCGTGTCCTTGGCCGCGATGTGCACGGGCTTGTGCGTGTTGTAATCGGTCAAGGCGCCCAGCTGCTTGGCCTCCAGGGAGCGGTAGTAGCTGGGGACGGAGGAGCGGGCGGCTTCGGCCATCGAGCGCACCGAGTCCTCGTCGCAACTCTCGGCGGGGCCCAAGGCGAGCCTCTCCAACACCGTGCCGTGGAGGTGCCGGCGCGGCTGGGCCACCCCATGGAGCAGCCGCGGGAACTGCAAGTTTAAGGTGGATCTCGGCTTTGGCGACCAGGCAACCCCGCAGACACGGGAGCCGCCGAGGAAACGCAGGCGTACGGCAGCTCGTGTGTCACCCTCCCGCCAGTGCGCGGACCATGGCACAACACCATGCAGGAGACACCTCCTGTGTCACCATCTTTAGCGATTGCCACCCCTGGGATAGGTCAGCTGGCACCGCATCAGCGCCGAACTACGCCACCAGCCTCCTCTCGATGGTGAGGTGGAAATTGTCGGGGAACCATCTCGCTTGCAAAGTGCGGGCGCAAGTCCTCTGAGGATGCGGGCACCGACCTGCGTTCAGAGAAGTCGTCACCGCGCAAATAGCAGTGGCGGCGTTCACATCACGGTCGTGATGACGGGCGGCTTGGTCGGCCATCAGGAAGTATCGTTGGGCGACCGACTCTTGCGTGCACCAAAACGGTGGGCTCCACCTGCTGGCAGCGACGGCGGGCGCCTCCACGCTCTTGGTGGCCTGCTGCTCGAGCCTCTCGTAGGTGTCACGGCACGGTGGGATCGCGAACTCGGCCTCCCTCCACACCGAGCCCGCCGCCATGGCTCGCATCGAGCTGACCGCCGCAGTCGGGCCAGGAGTCCAGGGGGAGGAAGTCCCAGAGCTTCTCGGGCAGCGCCTGGCATCGCTCGGACGTGTGCATGTTTTCCTTCGGCGAGGACCATCGAGGACCATCCTTGATCATTTTACGAAAAACCACGCGCGAAACCGAACAAAAAAACCACAGGGAATGGACGTCCGAGCGATGGCCAGAGCGGGACAAACTGCGTGGGGTGGGACAGCGCCCGGAGGCGGTGGGTGCCGCGGGGCCGCGCGCTGACGTCGACTGGGGCGGGCGCCCGTCGCGTGCGCGCCAAGCCAGTGCCGCCGCCTCTCCGCCGCGGCAGTCCACTGGGGCCTCGGGGGTGGCGCCGGGGCCCAGCTGCGCCTCGGTGTGCTCGCCCGCGCCTTCGATCAGCATGCCTCTGCTTCGACCAACTTTCAGTGCCTTACCACAGCCAAGTGAGAAACAGGGTAAGGGTTCACGAATCGAGGATTTGCCGGCAGATTCCACAGCACACCACGCAACCACGAATCCAAGCCACACGCTTCTCGTCACGATTGGCGGCACTGTCGATGGTACGGCCTTCCACTGGGCCAATGCGGAAATCGTCGATTCGACCTCGGGGATGACGTGCTCATCAAGGGCTTGCCGAAGAGGGATGAGGAAGCTCGCCTTCGGTTGCAGCGGAAGGCTGCCCAGCTCGTGCGCGCTGTCGAAGACCGCGGCGATCTTGGGCAAGTTCTGGACGTTGCGGCTAACGGCGCCCGCGTCGTCAGCGCAAGCGCCGACCGTGCCTTCGGTGTGAGATGAAAAGATGTCGGAGATGGCATGGATAATGGGGTCCATTGCCACCGCCCAGGCGGAATCCGACAGTGGATGCCCCTGAGCTGCGCCACTGCTGATATCGCAGAGGCGATGATGGGCGCTTCCAGGCAGAGCCATGCCCTTAGCCCCGTCGTAGAGGCCATGAACTGTGTTGATGCAGTGGGGGCCGATCCACAAGAAACCTCCCGCAGGAAATCCAACCCTGAGACCCCAGGACGTCCATCGATCTTTGGCGTGGGAACGCCAGAATTTCCATCGCATCGGAACCCAAGAAACCCAAGGCACCCTGGAGGCAAGCAGGGCGTTTCTTGGCACGGGTCTCCACTGTAATCCTGCGGGAGCCCGACGCGCGAGAGGGCGCCGAGAGGCCAGTGCCTGCCATGAAAAAGGGGAAGGCGGCCGCGGTGTCCAGGAGGAGGATCATGGACTCTGAGCTGTGCGCGTCCGACGGTAGAGGGAAACACTTACTGAGCACTCTCTCTCTCTCTCTCTCTCTCTCTCTCCCCCCCCAAACTCAAGGTTGGCGCGCGCGCGGGGGAGGCCGCGGCCGAGGTGCATCTCGTCAGACCCGCCAACTCTGAACACTTGGGGGAGAGGGGGACCTTGACAGATGACTGTGGCATGAGTGTTCGCTACTTTTTTCCGAGGCCTGCATTGGAAAGAGGAGGAGGAGGAGGAGGAGGAGGAGGAGGAGGAGGAGGAGGAGGAGGAGGAGGAGGGAGGAGGAGGAGGAGGAGGAGGAGGAGGAGAGGAGGAGGAGGAGGAGGAGGAGGAAGGGAGGAGGGAGGAGGAGGAGGAGGAGGAGGAGGAGGAGGAGGAGGAGGAGGAGGAGGAGGAGGGAGGAGGAGGAGGAGGAGGAGGAGAGAGGAGGAGGAGGAAGAAGAGCAGGAGGAGGAGGAGGAGGAGGAGGAGGAGGAGGAGGGGAGGAGGAGGAGGAGGAGGAGGGAAGGAGGAGGAGGAGGAGGAGGAGGAGGAGGAGGAGGAGGAGGAGGAGGAGGAGAGGAGGAGGAGGAGGAGGAGGGAGGAGAAGGACGAGGAGGAGGAGGAGGGAGGAGGGAGGAGGAGGGAGGAGGAGGAGGAGGAGGAGGGAGGGGAGGAGGAGGAGAAGGGGGGAGGAGGAGGAGGAGGAGGAGAGGAGGAGGAGGAGGAGGAGGAGGAGGAGGAGGAGGAGGCGGGCCTCGCCGTCGATCTGCGCAGTGCTCCCTCAGAGGCTCCTGCCTCCGATGAGGCCCCGTGGCGCGACGTGTGCATGCGGGGCGACCTGCTCGGCCATCCGGCGGTGGATCGCCGACGCGATGATCTCAGAGGAGGAGGAGGAGGAGAAGGATGAGGAGGAGGAGGAGGAGGAGGAGGAGGAGGAGGAGGAGGAGGAGGAGGAGGAGGAGGAGGAGCAGGAGGCAACATCTTCGCGCGCGACGGGGCGCGGGGCGCCCGCCTCCCGAAGGCCATGCGCCAGTTCGTCGGGCTCCGACCCTTTCGGGGTGAAGTTGGGGAGCGAGCGGTGGAAGCCCCCGGGGGGCGTGTCCGAACTCTAAAGAGGTCCCAGGCCACGTCCTCGAGCAAATCGAAGCTGTCCTCGGCGGCCATCCGCGCTTTGTACGGGGGCTGATCAGGACTGGGGGCCGCATTGTGTGCAACCCTGGCCGCGTGCTTCACATCGAGGCGGCGGTGGGCAGTGGCAGGCTTGCCTTGGGGGTGTCCTGGGGCATGTGGGGGTCGGGGAACTGCTGGAGCTCGGGCTGGTTGGCGTGCCTGGCAACGAAGATCGGCTTCCAGTGGGTCGTCGGCGCCTTTAGCGTGCTTTCGGGGTCCTTGGCTACCGCTTCGCCCCGCGCTATCTTGAACCCCTTGAGCTGCAGACGGGTCGCGGGTGGGGCCCACGGGCGGCTCCGACGCTGGAGTGCCCTCTGCTGCTTGAGACTGTGCTCGAGGTCGTGCGTTCTCTGCAGTCGCGCGGCGCGCGCGGCGTGTGCTTCCGCCTCCCTCTGTAGAAATGTAGCATGTAGACAGCGGGACGAGGCCGCCGTTGTTCCGTCGATGCGGAGGTGCTCCCTGCCGAACTCCGTGTGCTGGAGTTTGGCAGCAATTCTGGTGTCTTGTCTCCAGACTGCTCGGGAGATGGACCTCGTGGTAATCGTGCGTGCTGCGATGACGGGCTGCTGGCGCGAGTCTCCAAGTATGGCGGTAAGGAAGTCCCTGGTGAGCTTCGCGGCATTGGTCATGTTGGCCTTCATGATCAGCAATCGCTGCGCTGGAGAGCGGTCCTGCAGTTTGGAGGGGGAGTGCAAGACTTCGTAGTGACGCTGACATGGAGGTAACTTTAGAAGGAAGTCAAGGATGCACGATAAGATGCAGTGAACACTCATGCGGGCGTCGCTCAGGGCGGTCGCCCCTTTATTCACGTGCAGTTGAGTAGATATATTCGGTATGGCATGTGCAGGGAGGCTGACACTTATTCGACCAATTCTCGTAGCCGTCAATGAATGCCTGTTGAACCGCGTCGGATGGCCGTTCTTCACTTCCACCACGCTGCCAAACAGCCGCTTCCAGAAGGACTGCTGGTGCTCATCCCTTGAAGTTGCGGCGAAGTTCAGGGCGGGTGAGGGCGTCGATGGCGGGGCCGATCTTGCCGTGGCCGTAGTGGATGAGGACGGAGGCTCGTCGTGGATATTGAAGTCGCCGCACGCGACGAAGAGCCGCTGACGGGGCGCAGCCACAGTCCTCTCTGCAAGCGAGACCACTCATGCTCGAGAACAGCGCGATGTTGTGGCTCAAGATCGTGATTGAGGCTACTCATTACGGCAATTTGGCACTCCTCGTTGCAATACATATCGGAGATATGGACACGGCCTTTGTACGTTACGACGTCGGTCTCTTTGTATATCCGCGCGAGGTAGTGATGGAACTGGGGGGCCCATCTGCCTGCGAGCGGCGAGGCCACAGCAGCCGCCGATGGAAGATAAAATAGTAAACCAGTAGAACTTGTTGGGGCTGTTGATGCGGAGGATCCAGAGGATGAGGATGAGGATGAGTATGATGATGAGGAGGAGGAGGAAGAGGAGGGGGAGGAGGAGGAGGAGGAGGAGGAGGAGGATGAGGATGATGATGATGAGAGAGGAGGAGGAGGAGGAGGGGGAGGAGGAGGAGGAGGAGAATAATATGCTTCCCTCCCCCATTCCTGGACTAAGGCGCCAAGCGGGTGCGCCGCGGGAGGCGCCGAGCAGCGCCGCTGCCGGAAGAAAGGCCGCGGCCGCCCGCAGCAGCGCGCTGGCGGCGCGCGGCTGGCGATGCCTCGGGCCCAGGGCAAGGGCTTGCTGCGTCAGCTGCTGCTGCGGCTGCTGCTGCTGCTGCTGCTCCTCTTCTTCTTCCTCCTCCTCCTCCTCCTCCTCCTCCTCCCTCGCTCCTCTCTCTCCTCCTCCTACTCTCTCTACCTCCTCCTCCTTCTCGTCTTCCTCTTCCTTCCTTTTCCTCCCCCTCCTCCTCCTCCTCCTCCTCCTCCTCCTCGAGATTCCAAATTATTGATGGTAATCGCCCTCTCCGGGGCCTCTTGGGGCGCCCTCGTCGCCACGGCCGGGTTCCTGCGGGAACTCTGCCCATCGCAATTCTCGGCCTCCGCGGGGCGCTTGCAAGCCCCGGGGGCCGTCGAACAGCGTCCGGGGTCGGAATATGTCGATTCGTCGGAGGTCTGGGTCCTCCTCCTCCTCCTCCTCCTCCTCCTCCTCCTCGTTATATCCCTCCTCCTCCTCCTTCTCCTCCTCCCCCTCCTTCCCCTTTCCTAGCTTCACCCTCCTGATCCTCCTCATCCTGTTCGTCGTGACTCTTCCTCCTTCTGCTGCTCCTACTCTGCTTGACGCGGGGGTGGACGGCAGAGAAGGGCGAAGGGTCGACAGGCTTAGCGAATGGAATCGGAGCGAGGAATGAGAGGTGGGGAAATCTTTCCCCACTATCAGGGTTCTGCAGGGGGGCAAGGGGGGGAGGGCGAAGATGGTGATGAGTAATGGCAGCAGCTGCAACCAGAGGACGTGGAGGAGGAGGAGGAGGAGGAAGAGGAGGAGGAGGAGGGGGGGAAGAGGAGGAGGAGGGGGAGGAAGAGGAGGAGGAGGAGGAGGAGGAGGAGGAGGAGGAGGAAGAGGAAGCGGAGGAGGAAGTGCTGGATGAGGGGGAGTAGCAACAGGAGGCGGGAAGCGAGGACGGTGATGGGAGCTCGAGGGGTAGAAGGAGTGAGAAGGAGGGAGGCGCGAGCAGGGAGGGATCAGGAGGATGACAGCGGAGAAGGAGAACATGCAAACACCTCCCCCGCTGGGCGCCTGGCGACCATGGCCCGGCGACCTCCAGGCGGCCGGGTCCCCAAGACGTCGCAGCTATCCTGGGCGCGTCGGGCGATTGGCTGGAGCATCGTGAGGTCCGCCCCTGACACTCGCGTACTCGTCGTCGCTTGGGCCCCCGTTTTTTTTTTTTTTTTTTTTTTTTTTTTTTTTTTTTTTTTTTTGTTCTCGCTTGCTTTCTCTCTCTCTCTTTTTTTTCTTTTTTTTTTTTTTTTTTCTCTCTCTCTCTCTCTCATTTTTTTCCTTTCTCTCTCTCTCTCTTTCTCCTTGCTTCCCTCTCTCTACATGTATGTAATGTACACGCGCTTCCATCGCTGTGTATATATATACATATAAATCTATATTGTTTTGTCAATGTTTTCATGCTCCCTGTAATCTTTCCCAATCTATGTGTTATATCGCTTTATTCTCGCTCTCTCCCCAATGTGTCCTAGTCTGGTCATCGACGTTTCTTTCGTGTTTCTTTGTGTCTTTCTTCACTCTCGTGGTCTGCATACACATATATATATACATATACATACACATGTATATATGTCTAGATATATCGCCATTCAAGCCAACCGTTCTGGCCCGGGACGCTTGCGCTCCGATTCCTATCAACTTCCGTGGTCAACTTGGCTCTGTAAGTCCTATCCAACGAGCTGACAGCAATGTCTGGAACTGTCCGTGCGTAGGTCACACCTTGTCGCAGCGGTCTGCCCGTTAGCCGACAAGCAAACATCATTAATGCATCCCCGTCACTGCTGCTACTTCGCCTGTGAACGTGGGCCGTCGCCACCACCACCATGGTCGTTGTCGGCACCAGTGCGAATCCATCACCAACGATGTCAACGCCACGACGTCAAAGCCATCTTCACCAAACTGGACGTCGTCGCCACCACCGTTGTCGTCGCCACCGCCTCCTCCACCACCGTGTTCGTCGAGTGTGCGTCTGGAGCGCCAGATTCAAACTTCCAGACTCTCCTCTCGATCGGTCGACAGCTTGGGAGATGTCGAAAGTCACGCGCCCTCTCTTGTGAGACCCAGCCTCAGAGCAGAGCGACAGGGAGGAGGAGGAGGAGGGATAAGAAGGGGGAGGGTCGGGTAGTCGTCGTCCTCCTCCTCCTCCTGCCCCCTCCTCCTCCTCCTCCTTCTTCCTCCTCCTTCCTCCTTCCTCCTCCTCCTCCTCCTGAGGGGTGGGGAAGGGAGGGAGGGCAGGAGGCAGGACTGGACGAGCTACCAGACCTCCGTGTCCTGCGCAAGTTGGTCAACTTCTGCTCTAAGAACTGGCGCCCATACAACAGGAGCTCGGTCACAAGAAACCTTCCACAAGAAACCCAACCCTGAGACCCGAGGACGCTCATTGAATTTTGATGTGGGGACGTCACGCTCTCAGTAGCAAAACCATCGAAACCATCGAAACCCAGGACACCCTAGATGCAAGCAGGGTGTTTCTTGGCATGGGTCCCCACTGTAAGAATTGGCGCCCATATCTCTATGTTAACGATTGACAACAACTTTTTGCTCACAGCTGTTAGTTCTCACGCTGTATGGTGAAATGGTTGCCATGCCTCTCACAGGGTGCAACGCACATAGAGTAGTTATGGGGTGTAGCGTAAGCGGTGCAACTTCGGGGGAGCACGTATCGGGTGCAGTCTATAGGTTGCAACCATTGGAATGCAACTTGCGGTGTGCAAAACACTTCGACCGTTTTGAAGTCGTCAATTCCACTGTTTGTGCAAAAGCCCCACCCACCCACCCGAAACTTCTTTGGCAAAACCCGTTCAGCCACGATTGAGGTTCCCGATTGGAACTTGCTTGCGCGTGTCCACGGCTGCGCTGGCGCGCGCGCTCGCGATGCAGCCGCGATTGCGCTTACCGATGGGGACTTCCAAATGCGCCTCAAAGGCAGTGATGGCATGCGGGCGTTTCAGTGCGGATCAGTTTCTCGGGCGCACGCGATACCATGTTGACGTTGACAACAACGGCAACGATAATGATAATAAAGATGGTGGTGGCGATGGTAACGTTGGTGACGACAAAACCACTGACGGCGTCGATGGTGACGACGAAAACGATAAGGATATCCGTGTGTCGGTGAAGAAGGGTGCTTGTGATGATGGTGGCGGCAACGGTGACGGTTGACCATGACGATAACGGCGGTGATGCGATGGCGCTGATGAGGGTAATGGGCAAGTGCACGCGCAGAATATGTTTTGAAGAGTTCTATATTGCCATGCTTCGAGACCCCCAAGTTTGAGTAGGCTTTTGGCACGCGCGAGTGGCGGCCCGCGCATGGGACCCGCATGGGGTTATTTGATACTGGTTCGTGCACTGGGCGCATGCTAGATCAAAGCGGATGCATCGCGTGGTGATATGAGATTGCTAACATCCTATGCTGTTCACATGGTTTCAGCATGTGCGCGCGGGCAGGGCGAGTGCAACACTTGAATGAAACATCCATGTGGTTTGAAAGGCTTCATGCTCAACTGCTTGCATGACTACTGTGGTTGGTATGCTTTCGACATGTGCGCACGTATGAATACCGTGGATTTTCTTTTACTGCAATCTTGCAACGTTATCTCTTGAGATTAGCGAGTGTGCGCATTGTATTATCTGGCAAGGGAGACGAGGAACGCCAATACCGTTTTGGCTGGATGATATGATCTCATATGGTACATGAGCAATCCAGAAGAATCATCTGTAAAGTGCAATGATAAGCGGTGAAATGATAACCCTGGGCGTGGAGGGTGGTAGAGTCTGTTCTTCTTATGGAGAGAGAATCGGCGGGGGGCGGTGCGACCTATATGCAATCGACCGCCCTTCTGATTGTCCTCCTCCCCACTCTCCTCTTCTTTTTTGTTCTTTGTCCTCCTCCTGCCCATGTGCTTGACACTCAGCTCTCTCATTCTCTCGCTCTCTTTCGTTTCTCTTTCTCCCTCTCTCTTTGAAAATTTACCTCTCTCTCTATATATCTCTTTCTTCTTTTCTTGTTCCGTTCCTCCTACTATTTCTCTCTCCCTCGCTTCTCTCCCCCTCTCCCGCGCTCCCTCCTTCCCTCCCTCCTTCCCTGCATCGTCGTCCTCCTCTCCCCCCTTCTCCCCCTCCCCCCCTCTTCCTCCACAAATGTAAACGTGTGCAGCAGTGAAACGGATCGGGGGTGGTCCTTGATCGACTAGGGGATCTTGTTGGAAACCTCGTAAGACTGTGGGACCATAGCTTTTCTCATTCCTAACTGCACGCCAGAAAGATGCAAGGCGGTTCTTGTTCAACACAACACGGGGCCCTTGCCAAACTGGCAGGCCCGTGTCGCTGGTCTTTCAAAGGGGCCGCTTCTTGTAGTGTAAGGGAAAACTTGGCGGAACGTGTGAGGAGGGGGCTTGAGGCGGGAGGGTGTATTGCAGCATCGCATCTGCATCCTGGGTTTGCACCGGTGATCCACCTCCTCCCCCTTCTCCCCGACCCTCCTCCCTCCCTGGCCCCATCCCCAGACACCCGATTGAATTTTTCGATCCGCGGTCCCCAAGGGTCTCGGCCATTGCCTCAAAGGCAAGCTTTAGTCCCAGATCCGTTTCGGGTGGTCCTGGGGCCCAGAAAATGGCCCCAGGGGGCCGAAACCAAGGAAACACCCAGGGATTGAGCGAATTAGTCCGCCCGAAGTCTGGGTCAGTCCCTGCGTCGCCCTCCTCGCCCTCTTCCTGCATTTTTTGTTTGTTCAAATATTTGTTTCGGACAAGGGTCGTCACCCGGGGGGGGGGAGGGAGGAGGCTTGGGGCCCCGCGCGGCGGTAGCGCTCGGGCGGGGGCGGAGCGCGTCGGGGCGGGGGTGAGCTGCTACCACCCGAGATGTTTTTTGTTTTTTTCACTCATTTCAGACAACGTTCGTTGCCGTGGAGGGGAGGGAGGATCATTGGGGCCCCGCGGGCCGGTAGCACTCGGGCGGGGGGCGGAGCACGTCGGGGCGGGGGTTCGCTGCTCCTCCCGATTTTTTTTTTTTTTTTTTTTTTTGTTTTCATTCTTGCGGACAACGGTCGTTGCCGTGGGGGGAGGGAGAGGCTTGGGGCCCCGCGCAACGGTAACGCCTCGGGCGGGGTGGAGCACGCCAAGGCGGGGGTGCGCTGCTGCCTCCCGAACTTTTTTCTCCATATCTTTCGGACAGCGGTCGTTGCCGTGGGGGGGAAGAGGCTTGGGGGCCCCGCGTGACGGTAACGCTTCGGCGGAGCGGAGCACACTGGGGCAGAGGTGTGCCGTTATCGCCATACTGTGCGCGCGAGAGCACCAGCACGTGGGAAAAGGGAGGCTCAGACAGTCCCGGCCCCCACCCCCACGCACGACCGCGCTGCCGCTGCCCACAGGGGTGGGGGGTGGGGGAGGGAGGGGTTTGGCCCGGGTAGAGAACGTCACGCGCGACAGGATCCAAAGCAATCTGCCCCCTCCTCCTCCTCCTCCTCCTCCTCCTCCTCCTCCTCCTCTCCTCCTCATACTTCTTCTCCTCCCTCCTCCTCCTCCCTCCTCCTCCTCCTCCTCCTCCTCCTCCTCCTCCTCCTCCTCCTCCTCCTCCTCCCCCCCCTCCTCCCCCCGAGCCTGCGCCGCCCGCGCGCGCCGCCAGAGGCCCGACTGGCCGTGCCGGCCCGGGGGGGCGCCACGCGGCGGCGGCGGCGGCGGGGCAGGCAGCTCTCGGGCCGCTGGGGCGGCGTCGGGGAGGCACGGCGCGCCGGTCGGGGGAGGGAGAACAGAATTGGACGATCCCTGGTGAGCGTTCTTGTAATCGGCGCTTCGACATTGGGCGGCAAGGGCAGGGGGAGGGGGGGGGTCTGGCTCCAGACCTCTGCCCAGTGCGACTGTCTCCATGAGTGCGGCCTCGGGGGGGAGACTCCACCCGCTCGAAACAGGCGCCAGAAAACAGCCACGATCTACAGGGTGGGGGGAGGGGGGGTGCGAGGGCCCGCGCCGATCGGCAAAACAAGGAATAAGGAAACGATCGCCTGGCGTCGGATTTGTTTCGAGCTGGGCGTTTTCGCCCGCGTGCAAGCCCCATGGCCCTGGCTCGAGAAATGGTGCAAACAAATGGGGTCTGGGGCTCCGACCGTGATCGTTCACTGCGTCTTTCTTTTTTGGTTTGCTGCGTCGGATCGCGGGGATGATGATGATGATGATGATGATGATGATGATGATGATGATGATGATGATGATGATGATGATGATGATGATGATGACGATGACGATGACGATGACGATGACGATGACGATGACGATGATGCTGATGATGCTGATGATGCTGATGATGCTGATGATGCTGATGCTGATGCTGATGATGATGATGATGATGATGATGGTGATGTTTTGGAGGAATTGCGACAGGCTGCTCGACTTTATCGTTTACCTTCACCGCCTCGGTCTGGTAGAAACGGCGCTCCGCGGCCTTTAGGTGTTGCTGTAGCTGCTGGCCAGTAATGGCAATCATCGCGTTGCGGCTCGGTGCCAAGTGTGGGCCAGTCTGGTTCCCAGTTGCTGTGCATGGACTCGCCGATGCAGAACTCTACGGCGTTTTGGCAGCAGCCCTGGCTCGAGCTGCTCGGGGTGCACGTGCAAGGACGACTCGTTGTCGTTGACGTCCGTCGCCGCATGTGGCGCGTTCCACGGGAGGGCCTGGCCTTCGGTGCGTCTCGTTCGTTGTTTTTGTGGTTGTTGCTGTTGCTGTTATTGTTGTTGGTGCTGATGTTGATGTTGTTGTTGCTAGCGTTGTTGTTATTGTTGTTATTGCTGCTGTTATTGTTGTTAGCTGTTGCTGTTGCTGTTGCTGCTGTTGCTATTCTTGTTGTTGTGGTTGTTGTTGTTGTTGTTGTTGTTGTTGTTGTTGTTGTTGTTGTTGTTGTTGTTGTTTTTGTTGTTGTTGTTGCTAATGTTGTTTTTGATGAAATCATTGTTGCTGACTTGCTTTACTTCCGTCAGCGGAATCTGGCGGAAGTTGAAGCAAGTCAATAAAATGGCGCGCCAACGTTTTCGGATGCAGAATTTCTGGAATCAGCCATGTGGCACCAGCTTCTGTACCAGTACCAGGTACTCTCTTGCATTGTGCTCAGCCTTGTGCCTGAGCACGTTATCGATGTCGTACGCGCGTTCTGGCAATTCGGCGCGGATGCTGCTGCGCACCACCTCAAGATCTTTCTGAAGGACATGCTTAATCTCGTGCATGCCACCTGCAATGAGCATAGAACGCTTGATACTCCAGCCATCAGATTGCATGATCGAGGCTGTGGCACTCCCACATTTACGAGCTAGCTCTCATGGGGGAAATCGAGCTACCTCACGCAGGACTGACATCAGGCGCCGCTTGGCTTCTCAGCGTATGGGGATCGCCGCGACTGGCGTCGGCTGGCCCTGGCCGGCGCCAAAGAATCGAACCGAATCGAACTGGGATCGCTCCGGGCCAGCGTCAGGGCGGGCATGGCCTCCTACAGGCGGATTTTGGAAGAAAAACTGAAACATAGTCAGACCAATGTTCGTACATCCGCCGGCTCCCTTGTGGGGCCACCAGGCTGTAGGGCCAGCTTGCTGCTCCCTGCGCGAGTTGCAGTTTCAAGTCTCCAATGCTGCAAGTCTGCTTTCTGCTTCTTGCTGTAAGCTGTTGAAGTCCCCGCGAGGGGTGGGGAGCCCCAAACCTGCAATTTACCACCCTCAGATCGCATGCTGAATTCTCGTGGGGGCGCGTGAGACACATGAGAATGCATGAAATTCGTGCCCTCGAAGCCATGATCTCTCATACATTACACAATGTTTGCGTTTCCGAGGCCTCGCAAATTACGCAATTCTTGCGTCCCCGAGGCAACATCTCCCTGTAAATTATGCAATATCCGCGTCGCCGAAGCCACAAACCTTCGCGAATGACTCCATGTTTGCTCTGCCGAGGCCAAGACTGCTCCAAGGCGCCCGAAGATGGCTCCAAGACGGCCCAAGAGGGCCCCAAGAGCGCTCCATCAAGGCCTCCCGAGAGAGCTCCAAGAGGTCAGAATGGTCGATTTTACGTAGGTTGTTGAAGGATTTTACCCTTCTCGCGTTTTCGGCTCTGTGACGCTCCAAGACGGCTCAAGAAGCTCCCAAGACCGCCCAAAGACAGCCCAAGACGCGTCCAAGAGGGCCCCCAGACGGCCCAAGAGGGCCAGGGGCACCTGCACCTTTCGCAGCCGCCGAGACAGAGAGGGGCGAGGATCTGGCAGGGGAGGGCGGAGGGATGGAGGTTCGCGCGCCACTGCACGATCTTCGGGTGGTCGTGCCACTTCTCCATGCGCGCAGCGTGGGCGTCCGGGGCGCCTTGGCTGGGGCGTGCTTGCAGAGCCTCTCTCTTGTTCCTCGTCGCAGTACCAGAGTGCCGACCAGTACTGCGTAATAGTGGTACCAGACTGCCGAGTAGTTCTGCGTGTAGTAGTACTGCGTATGATAGTACTGCGTATCGTAGTACTGCGTATGGTATTGTGCCCCCTCCGCGAGCGCCAAGCCCACTGGCGCTGGCGTGCGCTCACGTATGCGGCCAAAGTGGGTGAGGAGGGCGTCGTAGGTGATCGGTTCAGGGTCGAACTTTGTCTGGATTGCGTCGGCGTCGGAGTGCCCGTCCCTAGGTTGCACGCTCTCGTGCGTGGGCTTCATCTGCGTGTTGCCGCCAGTGTCGCCGACCGTCAGCTTCAGGACCCCGCTCACCGCATCAAACATCCTCCCCGACGACCAGAAACAGCCCGTCGAGAAGCGGCACCTCCCCGCGGCCGCGGTTGGCACAGGGCCGGCCCGAGCAGCTCGGTTCCAGGGCGTGGCCCTCCTCCTCGAGCTGCTGCAGCGCCTGGGACGGCGGCGAACCGCACGCCTGTGTTGCTCTATCCCAATCTATGTGCTGGACGCCGCTCTGGCGCTCCGCTTTGTGCAGGCCCGAGCTGGTAGGCGCGAGCGCGCGGTCCCCCTCCTGGAGCCCCCGCAGCGCCTGGACGGCGGCGAGCCGCGCCCGCTCCACCTCCTCCGGCGAACCGTCCTTCGGGCGGAAGGTGGGCTGCTTCCTGGTGCCTTTGTCTGGGCCGTTCTTCATCAAGTATCTCACGCACCACGTCTGTTTCTTGCTGACCCAGTGTATGTACTTGACACCGCTCTGGCGTGGCGCGAGCGCGCGGTCCTCCTCCTCCAGCCGTCGCAGCGCCTGGGCGGCGGCGAGCCGCGCCCGCTCCACCTCCTCCGGCGATCCGTCCTTCGGGCGGAAGATGGGCTGCTTCTTGATGCCTTCGTCTGGGCCGTTCTGTCTGCGGTACTGAACACGCCACAACTGTCTTCTTCTATCCCAATGTATGTGCTGGACGCCGCTTTGGCGCTCCGCGCTGTGCTGGCCCGACCTGATCCGCCCGAAACAGTCCTCCTCCTGGAGCTCCCGCAGCGCCTCGACGGCGGCGAGCCGCGCCTGCTCCACCTCCTCCGGAGAATCGTCCTTCGGGCGGAAGATGGGCTGCTTCCTGGTGCCTTTGCCTGGGCCGTGCTTGATCACGTATCTCACGCACCACGTCTGTCTCTTGCCGACCCAGTGAACGTACTTGACGCCGCTCTGTCGATCTGGGGGGTCGTAGCTGCCAGCGCGGGCCTGCCCAACGCGGGCCTGCCCGAGCAGGTCATCCTCCTCGAGCCGCCGCAGCGCCTCGACGGCGGCGAGCCGCGCCTGCTCCACCTCCTCTGGCGACTCGTCCTTCGGGCGGAACGCGAGCTGCTTTTTGCGACCTTGATCCGGGCCGTTCCGTATCTTATACGTAATGCGCCAGGCCGCCTTGCGATTGACCCAGTTTATGTGCTTGACTCCGCTCTGGCCCTCCGCGGGGCTGTAGCTGCCCGCGCGGGCCTGCCCGAGCCTGTCCTCCTCCTCCATCCGCCGCAGCGCCTTGACGGCGGCGAGCCGCGCCTGCTCCACCTCCTCGGGCGACTCGTCCTTCGGGCGGAAAGTGGACTGCTTCCTGGTGCCTTTGTCTGCACCGTTCTGTATCTGGTACTTAACACGCCAAGCCTGTCTCGTGCTGTCCCAATGTATGTGCTTGATGCCGCTCTGGCGGTCTGCGCTGTGCCAGCCTGGTTTGATCCGCCCGAGCACGAGGTCCTCCTCCTGGAACGCCTGCAGCGCCTCGACGGCGGCGAGCCGCGCCCGCTCCACCTCCTCGGGCGTCTCGTCCTTCGTGCAGAACGTGAGCTGCTTCCTGGTGCCTTTGTCCGCGCCGTTACGTATCCAGTACTCAACTCGCCACGCCTGTCGGTCTTTGCCCAATAGATGTGCTTGACGCCGCTCTGGCGTTTCGCGCCCTGTCGGCCAGCGGAGGGTTCGCCCGCGCTGCTCGGCCGGAGCGCGCCGTCCTGCAACTTAGGGCGCCGCTTCACATCGCCTCCGACGACCAGAAACAGCCCGTCGAGAAGCGGCACCTCCCCGCTCGGCTCGAGGGCGCGGTCCTCCTCCTCGAGCCGCCGCAGCGCCTCGACGGCGGCGAGCCGCGCCTGCTCCACCTCCACTGGCGACTCGTCCTTCGGGCGGAGATAGCACCCCGTTTGGCGACGTTTGTCTGGGCTATTCTTCGCCCTGTACTGAACACGCCAGGCCTGGGTTTTCTTGCACCAGGAGATGTGCTTGACGCCGCTCTGGCGCTCCGCGGGGTCGTAACTGCCAGCGCGGGCCTGCCCGAGCCGGTCCTTCTCTTTCAGCCGTCGCAGCGCCTCGACGGCGGCGAGCCGCGCCTGCTCCACCTCCTCTGGCGACGCCTCCTTCGGTCGGAACGTAGGCCGCGTTCTGCGACCTTGATCTGGGCCGTTCTGTATCTTATATCTAATGCACCACACCGCTTTTCGTTTGTCCCAATGTATGTGCTCGACGCCGCTCTGGCGCTCCACGCTGCCAGGGTGTCCAGCTGCAGGAGCTGGCGCTTCGCGGCCGGGGCTGGCGGCCGCAGCCCGCAACGGCGCCCCGCGCACGGGGGCGGGCGCCGCGGCCGGCCCGGCGAAGGCCGCTGGGGCCAGGTGCCCGCGCCACGCGGCCGCCAGGGCTGCGCCCACCGCTGCCGCGGCCGCGCTGCGACGGTCGCGGCGGCGGCAGGTCATGCTCGCCTCTCGGAGCGCAGCAGGCGGCCTGGCAGGCGAGCGGTGGCGCGGACTGGCTGCCCGCTCCAGGCCACAGAAAGCGCTCGAGCCTCTGGAGCCAGACTGGCTACGGAAACGCTGCACGGGATAGAAGGGGTCGGCGGACCCCGTCATGAATAGCAGATCCGAGGTGGGGGGGCAATGTTCTCGAGCGGGCAACCACGAACCCAACGCTGTCTTCTGAACATTTGGATTCGCCTAGTTTGTTTTGTCGAGCGGAAATCCGCCAGCCTCATTCCGACGAGGCACCGAGGGACAAGTTTACCAGAGTACCTAAATATTCCTGGGCCCGCGCCCTTTCCGGGAAAAGAAAACCATCGGCCTAAAGCCTTTCCGGGAAAAATCCCCCTTGGCAGCAGGGAATGTAAACTGCACTGGCACTTGACAGGGTGCTTGCTGAAGTGTGCCCCTGATCAATCAGCATCCGTTTCCGAACATCAGAATCGAGGGGGCGACAGACTTACTCCGAGAGAGCAGGCCCTGATCGAGCAGCGGGAACGAGATTTCGGACACCACCATGCCATAATGCCGCAACACATTCACGCGCACCCTTGTATGCAGTGCCCAGCGCAGCCTGCGTGCAACATCAAAGCCTTTCTTGTCGGAGACTCGGAACATTATCGACCCAAGGACCCAGAAAGTGATGTAGACATGTTACGCGTGAAAATGTCCTGAAGACGCAGAAAATTTGCGACGGGCAATTGCAATTCTGAAGCTATCGATGGTGATGTACTGTGCCAGAGGCCGTGCTGTGCTATGGTGAACTGACATGTGCCATGCCGCGTTGAAACATGCTGAGCTTCTTTGCTTTGTGGATGAGGTCGTTGTTCGCGTCAAGATCCTGACCGAATGGATTTAGATCTAAACTCCGAACTGCCCGAACGCACAGGTCAAACTGGTTGCAGCCGGAACGCGCGGGGCTCACGACCAGCTCGCGCTCTAGATCCGATTCGGTTCCGACACAGGCCTGACCAAGAGGGGGCGAACTCGAACCAACGCGAAACACTCGGTGAAGGACGGACCGAGACGCGGCGAACCGAAGCATGACAAACTGCACCAAGACGAACCAACAAATGTGGCTCACGGGCGAAAATATCCCAAACAAAAACAAATGGTGTTGCCTCACGGGCGAAAGGAACCCATGTCGAACGGACGATTTGCGCTGACGGGCGAAAGGAACCCATGCAAATACAAATCATGTGCGTTGGCGGACGAAAGGGACCGTTGTACAAAACTAACGTTGACCCAAGGGAGACAGGAACCCATGTAAAACAGATGTGGTGCTGGCTCGCGGGCGCAAGGAGCTTGTGTACAAAACACACGTGGTGTTGCCTCACGGGCGAGAGAAACCGATGCACAAAAAACACATGGTTTGCGCTGACGGGCGGAAGGACACGTATGGTTTTGGCTCAAGGGCGAAAGGCACCCATGTAAAGACACATGGTTTTGGCTCGCGGGCGAAAGAGACCCATCCAAAAAAAACATGATTGTGGCTCCCTGGTGGGAACAACATGTGGAACAATTGGTGTGGGCCCAGGGGCGAAAAGCATGTTGGATGTCCGCCTGGTCGACCTGACGCGCTTGTTAAAAACAGGCGTTCCGCTCGAGACATCCCCGAAAATTCTGAGCGCAGGACGCGCCAGCTCCAAGATTACCCAAGAAGCGCTTCGAGAAGCCCCGAGAAGCCCCCAGGAGGCCCCAAGACGCCGCCAAGAGGCCCCAAGAGGCCCCAAGAGGCGCCCAAGACGCGCCCAAGAGGCCTCCAATATGGCCACAATATACCTACGAGGCCCCAAGAGGCCCCCCAAGAGGCTCCGAAATAGCCTCCAAGAGGCCCCTGAGAGGCTCATTAAGACACCCCAACACATATGCAAGAAGCCTCAGATCCACGACCCAGGCCGGGTGGCGGGATGGGCCGAATGCCACTCGGATCCGCCGCCCCCTGTCGATTCATCGCAGGGGTGCCTGGCGTGCCGAATGATATGGTTTTGGTTCTTTTTCCAAAGGAACTCCCCCTGGGGCTTCGGCCCGTCCCGCCGGCCACGCAGAAAGGCGCTCAATCCGGAAGAACATCCTCCAAGATGGCTCACGACGGCGCCAAGATGGCCACGTTGGCCCAAGATTTCCTCCGAGATCGTCCAAGAAGGGCTCCAAGTCCGCCCAAGATGGTCCAAGACTGCCTCCAAGACGGCCCAACCGAGTCCAAGACGGCCGAAGACGGCCCAAGAGGCCCCTCAGAGGCTCCAAGACGGCTCAAGAGGCCTCCAAGAGGTCCTCCAGGAGGGCCCGAAGAGGCCAAAATAATTGATTTTCCGACGGTTTTTGAAGGATTTTCGCATTCGCTTCTTCTCGGCTTTCCGACGACCCAAGACGGCCCAAGAGGCCCCGAAGATCGCCCCCACAGCGCCCAAGAGGCCTCCAAGATAGCCTCAGGACTGCCCAAGAGGCTCCTAAGACGGCCCCAAGAAGGCACAAAGACGGCCCAAAAGGCCTCCAAGACGCCCAAGATGGCCTCTAAGACGGCCCTGGAGCACCCCAAGAGGGCCCCAAGTCGGCCCAGAAAGGTCCCCCAAACTGCTTCCGACGGCGTCAGACGGGCCAGGAGCCCACCAAGATGGCCGAAGTTGGCTCGAAGCTGGCCCAAGACGGCTCAAGAGGCCTCCAAGAGGTCCTCCAGGAAGGCCCGAAGAGGCCAAAATGATTGTTTTTCCGACGGTTTTTGAAGGATTTTCGCATTCGCTTCTTCTCGGCTTTCCGACGACCCAAGACGGCCCAAGAGGCCCCGAAGATCGCCCCCACAGCGCCCAAGAGGCCTCCAAGATAGCCTCAGGACTGCCCAAGAGGCTCCTAAGACGGCCCCAAGAAGGAACAAAGACGGCCCAAAAGGCCTCCAAGACGCCCAAGATGGCCTCTAAGACGGCCCTGGAGCACCCCAAGCGGGCCCCAAGTCGGCCCAGAAAGGTCCCCCAAACTGCTTCCGACGGCGTCAGACGGGCCAGGAGCCCACCAAGATGGCCGAAGTTGGCTCGAAGCTGGCCCAAGACGGCTCAAGAGGCCTCCAGGAGGGCCTCCAGGAAGGCAAAAGCAGTTATTTTCCATGATGTTTTCGACGGATTTTGACATTTGCTTCGTTTCGGCCTTCCGACAGCCCGATACGGCCCAAGAGCCCCCAAAGATCGCCCAAGGATCGCCCAAGATGCCTCCAAGATGGCCCCAGAACGGCCCAAGAGTCCCCCGAAACGTCCCCAAGAGGCCCCCAAGACGGCCCAGGAGGCTTCGAAGACGCCCAGGATGGCCTCCAAGACGGCCCTGGAGCATTACAAGAGGGCCCCAAGTCGGCTCAGAGAGGCCCCCCAAACGGCTTCCGACGGCGTCGGACGGGCCAGGGGCCCACCAAGACGGCCGACGATGGCACTAAGATGGCCCAAGACGGCCCAAAGGGCCTCCAGGAAGGCCCGAAAAGGCAAAAATCATTGATTTCCCGTGCGTTTTTGAAGGATTGTGGCATTTGCCTTTCTTCAGCCTTCCGACGGCCCGAGACGGCCCAAGTGTCCCCAAAGATCGCCCAAGAGGCCCACGACGGCCCCAAGAGGCCCCCAAGATGGCCCAAGAGGCCTCCGAGAACTCAAGATGGCCTCCAAGACGGCCCAAGAGCCCTCCAAGACGTTCTCCAAGAAAGCCCGAAAGGGTCAAAATGGCCTCCAGGCGGCCAGGATGACCTTCAAGATGCCCACGTGTTCCAAGAAGGCTTTCCAAACTGGTTCGGGGAACACATGGTCCGATAGCTTGGCAGGTCTGGCCTCAATGTTCGGCCACATAGGCGCTTCCAAAAAGGCAGGGGGCGGCGGTGATTCGCCGTAGGCGTCTTCGATCCGCCGCCCCCTGTCGATTCATCGCAGGGGTGCCTGGCGTGCCGAACGATATGGTTTGGGTTCTTTTTCCAAAGGAACTCCCCCTGGGGCTTCGGCCCGTCCCGCCGGCCACCCGGAAGGATGCCGAAAGATTACCCGGACCCGGTTACAAAGTTTTTTTCGCTCCAGTCGGTCCCCAAGATCGCCCAAGATGGCCTCCAAGACGCCTCCAAGACGGCCAACATGGCCTCCAAGACGGCTAAGATGGCCCCAAGATGCCTCCAAGACGGCCCAAGAGGCTCCCAAGAGGCCTCCAAGACGGCCCCAAAGGCCTCCAAGAGGTCCTCCAGGAAGGCCCGAAGAGGCCCAAATCATTGATTTTCCGTAGGTTTTGGAGGATTTTGGCATTTGCGCTTTTTCGGCTTTCCGACGGCCCAAGACGGCCCAAGAGGCCCCGTCGTCCCAAGATCGCCCCAAGATCGCTCACGAGGCCTCCAAGAGGACCCCATGACGGCCCAAGAGGCCTCCAAGACGGCTCCAAGAGGGCCCCAAGACGGCCCAAGAGACCTCCAAGACGCCCAAGATGGCCTCCAAGACGGCCCCGAAGCGCCCCAAGAGGACCCCAAGTCGGTTCAGAGAGGCCCCCAAGGCGGCTCCCGACGGGGTCAGACGGGCCAGGAGCCCACCAAGATGGCCGAAGTTGGCTCGAAGCTGGCCCAAGACGGCCCAAGAGGCCTCCAAGATGGCCTCCAGGAAGGCTAGAAAAAAGGCAACAAATACTGATTTCCATAGGTTTTTGAAGGATTTTGACATTGCTTCTTTTCGGCTTTCCGACGGACCGAGACGGCTCAAGAGCCCCCAACGATCGCCCAAAGATCGCCCAAGATGCCTCCAAGATGGCCCCAGAACGGCCCAAGAGGCCCCCAAGACGGCCCCAAGAGGCCCCCCAAGA